AGAGAGAGAGAGTTCTTAAAAACTGATTTTATGATTTCAAAACATATTATGAAATATTTGCAAAAACTTTAACTATTAATATTTTCTAAGAAAAGGCGGTAGTTTGAAAAGTATTTACTACTATTATATTAATTTATTATTATAATTTATGATTATATTGTATTAGTGCCGATGCTTTCACAAATGTTTGCTAATTTATGTTTTGCACATTAATATGGCTAATAGTCCGAGAGAGAGATAAACGTTTTTCCATGGAAATAGCTATTGTTTTTTGAGAATGTCCAATGTTAAATAAAAAGCTTTTAAACTTATTTTTAATAACAATTATTGTTTTGTCTGTTAAGATTTATTGTTATGTTTGTTAATTAACTATGGTTAGAGTGCTAGTGCTATTTTACATAGAGAATTTTATTTGATATACGATAATATTACATTTAACATAAACTGTTATGAGGTGTTATTTTTCAAATTAAATTAAATTTATTTTTTCTAAAAAACACCTTTTTGAATAGCATAAAGCAATGATTTTTAAATAACTTACCCAGACACAAAACCCAAAAATTAATTACTTAAATTAATCAAATTATTTATGTGTTTAAGATTAAAATAGATATTTGTTACACATTTACTATTGCATGATTTTTATTCATAATAACATTTAAATTATATAGCTAGTAATACTTTGTTTTTTATATCAAATATTGATATAATATACAGTAATATGAGGATAGTTTCAAAATATTTTAACTCAATTAGTATTTGTTGTGGAAATGGATGCAATGGACAGGCATGCCGTGCATATGGATGTACACACCATACGGTTCCTAAAAATAACAAATAATGACGGCTTAGGCAGCGACGAGAACTGGATGTGCTCGGAAAGGGATCACAAAAATAATGACACACTTGATGTGAATCAGTGGGTGCTTACTGTTCATCAGTATGAGCAGGTACAAAATTATTTATTCAAAAAAATGTGAGCCCAGTAGTTTTAATACTTAAAACGATATACTATTGTGATATGAAAGCGGAGTTTTTGTACTAGTACATTTGTTTACTTAGCGCACACATGAATATAACATTTTTATATTAAATTTTAAAATATTATTTAATATTTTAACAGAATATACACCAAAATCGCGACAAATATCGTAGCGTATTGTCCATTGATATATGCAAAACACATATCACCGTTGACTTGATTGACAAAATCTGCCGGTGCTGTCCGGCACTAGAGTGTATCAAACTAACTAGGTCGGTATTTCAGCTAGGTGCCCTTGACTACCTAGTTGATAATATTGCACCAAGACTACTGCACCTGGCGCTCGAACACTACAGCTACGATATAGCAAACTTCATTGCAAGTCAAACAATATTCAGTCGGCTATTATCAGGATCAATTAAATTGGAGGAACTAAAACTATGCGTAGAAAACATGTGGTGCTACACGAGCTACCTGGCCAACCTGCCGGAAAGCCTACGATTTTTATACATTAAATTTAATAACCAATTCGAGTGCTCGGGCTTAACTGACCGGGATATTTTGGCATATGATAGCCCCTTGGCTAATATACTGGCGGCTATTTCCGAGAATAGGTTTTTACAGTATTTGAGGATCGAGGCCAGGGATGAGCACCACTGGCTAGCCGTACAGGTATTATAGCTGGATTATTTAATTTATGATAATGATAAAGTATTTTATTTTTTTATACCTAATAACTATGTCCGATTTTTATACATTAAATTTAATAACCAATTCGAGTGCTCGGGCTTAACTGACCGGGATATTTTGGCATATGATAGCCCCTTGGCTAATATACTGGCGGCTATTTCCGAGAATAGGTTTTTACAGTAACATCGTATGTGAAGTTGAAGTGTTTGGCCAAAGACTCCAATAGTCTCGCTTCCATTCCTCCGTTTAGATCCCATTTATGTGTTGTTGTGTTCAATTGGATGAACACATACGGAGGACTCTATTATTAGTTTTTATCGTTTTATTTCAATTAATTATTAATATTATATAATTATTATTAAGAATCAATTCTTTTACCAAATTTGTGGCCACTTTTAAGACAACTCCTCTTAGATCAATAGCGGTCGACATTATTTGATTATTAAGCAAACAATTCAATTCATTGATCAACAAATTTATATTATAATAAATTCAGTTTTATAATAAATATAATATGTAATATATTATTATGCAAATGTTTAAATAAATGTTTAATTATGATAATGAGCAATATAGAAATTATATTTTCATATCAATATGAAGAGATATAACTATTTGTATTACTTTTGTATTACGGTAATTTTATTTAAAGGAATTTTTCGATTTTAAACCACAAAATTATACATAGTTTAAGTGTACCTAACCAAACTATTAAAGTATATTATTCTTAATATAATTATAGTTTTGGATATTCTTTGAGCTAATAACATACTCAAACAATTCTTATGACAAATTGTAGTAAAAATAAGAGTTTTCTAAAAATCGATTAAAAGTTTTGCAATAAATCACATGTATTAATATTTATTATTTAGAATCCAAATGCCAATAATACTAACGAGTAATAATAATAATAAGGATTAATGTTCTCAAAACAATGTCATTTCTCACAACTTGTTATTCAAAAGTAAAATACTGTACACTAGTTTGAATATGAATTTGATTGTCATTTTAATAAATAGAAACTAAATAATGAATGCTGTGTGAAATTATATTTCTAATAAATTCATTCAAAATTCATTGAATAAAAGCATTCATACAAGAATTAGAGTAACAATAATTGAGAGCATTATTTCGCAATAACTGCACATTTTATTTATCAAAAACATTTTCATCTGGATTGAAAAGAACAATAATAAGTACAATTAGTTAGGGGTATATATGCCATGAATAGTAGCGGGAATGTGGGCCACATCCCTGTGTATCTCAGCCCTTGCGATCTCTTTGAATGACTTTGCGTCCAGTATTAGAAGGAAATGTGGTTTCGTTTCATCAGAATCTAAAACAATACATAAGACAACGCCGTCGTCTTCATCCACAGCATCGGGTCGTCCGATGAAAACACATTCCCCCGGATATAGTGTTTCAGATTCCCTCCAAATTAGGGCCTCTTTAGTAATAACATCTAATTTGCAGATCTATTCAAAAAATATATCTTATAATTTATTTGACATTATTTTTAATTTGAAAGCAAAAATTACTGCATTAGCAAAGTGTCCCCTCTCAAAGACTCCACTCCCGTAACAATATCTATATTTCTTTCCATTAAAGTGTTTGTAATTAATACTGGGCAATTCAAATCCGGGTATTCCTAGCTGCTCGGGAGTGAGCCATATGTGTCCTTTCTCATTCATTTCTGCCTTTGCTTCACTGTTTTCAAGTAAAACCAAATTCTTGCCTTGCTCAAACTGAAATAATTTGTAATTAAAAAAATTTCATTCAAACATTTTAAAGCATAATACTTTTTTATCTGTTGGCAATGGTAAGACATATCTTCGAGGAATGGGAGGACTGTTAACGTCCCACTCATTTGATCTCAATTTATCTAAAGTCCATTTCTCGAGTATAGACGAGTCGTCGTATGTTATGATATCGCATACGATATGATTATTATCTTCATAGGCATTGATGTGATGGAAATGAAAAATAGATTCAGAATTGTATTTTGAAACTACTTTTCCACTCGTCTTGTCGACCACATAGAATTTTGTCTAAAGTAGCAAATATTATCTAGATTATTTATATTATATTATTTTCTTATACCTTCTCATTGGGACACCACTCGAAACAGTCTTTCAATGGCTTTCCCTTTGGTGTACAAGTGGCCAGTTTGAAGGCATTCACGAGTAACGGCTGCTCCAGGAATACAATATAGTTTTGAGTGATGCCATAACTGTGGTAATATGTGATACAAGTGCTCCAACTCGACGGAATCGACACAAGAATTGAGGCCTTTGTGAACACACTTTCCTCTATTGATTAGGTTTTTGATTAAAGTTTTATAAATCTAAAATTATTTACTAATAAAAACCTTTGTGTTCTCCAATTTGCTGCAAATTCTGTTGGACAGGTATTTTAATGATGTGGTATTTTAAGCCTTTCAGGAAACTTGAAGTCAAATTATAAGCGAATGGCTCGGAGTGCATGTGTTGGACGTGAGCACTGGCCAGGTTGACACCAATGAGTTTGTCTAAATTCACCTTAAATCGAGATACCATTGATTATCTTGTTTATTTTGATTTATATTGATTATGTTTTATATGAAATCAACCTTTTCAATGGCACTCAATGTATTGCAGTCAAAACGCCACACATTACAGGTCTCGGAGGCGGCGTAATACTCGTCCCGCAGACGGTATATACCAATACACCCGTTGTCTGTCAAATCGCTGGGAACTATTTGCGAGAAGAACCGGGCGAAGACATTCTTACACGGGTCCGGATAGGCTCGGGTCCCAAACTCAGTGAACACCGGCTTCTTCACAGATGTCTTTATTTTAAAATCCAATATAATTACCAAGATCATCAACTAATAATTATATTCATATATTCAATGACAATTCACACCATTTTGTTATAGGCGTCCGATTCCAGAAATTTTGATTTGAATAATACTTTTCCATTTTCTATAGAGAATTTGCACAGAAGAGCACATCCATCCAACCAATGGTTGAGTCTAAAGTCATCATCCAGGTCCCATTTGCCTGGACCTAATCTTATCATATGGCCATTAATCCAGTCGGGAATTTTACCTTAAATTATAATTTTTTCATAATAAATAAATTGATTATAATTGTGTGAAAGATAAATTTGGGAGACATTCCTAATAAGGAATTTTTATTTATATAATTCCTATGTTCTGTAAACTTTAATACTTTAAACATTATTTCTAAACTTTTATTTAAAAATATAATAAAATTTTATTTTTAAACATTGATTCCTGGGTTACAAACTGGTTTGTAACGGCAAACATTGCATAGACACTAAAAGTAAACACTTAGTTTATTAACACACAACTTGCTAAAACAATAAAATTCCGATCAAAATCTTGACAATGTATTCATTACCAATGCTACATATCAGCATAGGTACATACACATTTATAGTTACTATTTATAATAACTTACCTGTCACATTAGCCGACACCTCTTGTTCGCATTCATTCCAAGATTTTAACAATTTATCCATTTTTTATTACTTATTTAATTACAAACTCCAACACTTTAGCGTAAAACTTAGATGTCAATTTAATTATTTGATTATATAATTTATTATATTGACATTGAAAATCATAATGAAAATAATCTAATTAAATTCATGTTTTGCATCAAAATATATTAATAAATTGTAATTAATTTGAATAAACACTTCCAATTTTTAAAAAATCAAAATATTTCAAAATTGGAGTATAGTTTAGATGTGATTCACTACAAGTTTGGTTTGTTCACTACATTTCAATACTCGCCTCAAATGAATGACTTAAAGACCAAAATAAACGAAACGAGTGGTGGAAACAAGTTTTGCAAACTTTTAGTTTCTAATAAAACTTGATTTTCAAAAGTGTTATGTATTGAGTGGACTTTTAATAGTAACAAAAAGAGGTCAAAATTACCACATGTATGTCCTAAATGGCCTGGAATATGAACTTAAGGCTAGAAATAACATCATATTTTTGGGAACCAAATTAGTTCAAAAAACTTTTAACTGTACAATGGATGAATTGACTGAGCAATTCATTTTGTATACATTACTACATTACTGTACAGTAATTCATTTTTGTATTATAAAGTTTATAGTATAAAGGTTATCATGGTTTAATTTTAAAAATATTTTAACTATAGAAATAAGTTTTTGGTTTTTAATTCTAAAAATTATTGGACTTGTTAATTTATATAAAATTATTTTTAATTAAGAATTATATTTACATTCATTTTTTAACTAATCATAAATTCATTCATTATTATTGATAGAGCATAAGTGAACTATATTTTATTTAGGATTTATAAAAATAGAAATGATTAACATTTGCCTCAATACAAGAGACGGACTTTTCTATAAGATACTTCAAATACATATCAGTTTCAAAGTATATTTACTGTAGTTTCAAATTGTATACTCTTTAAAGTTTTTGACCGAGTCAAAGTTACCGTACTTTATAAAAATAACATAAAATTACATAATGAGTTACTGCAAGATTCAGATATCTAAACTAGCTTAACTATTATTTTAACTAAATTTTAAATATTAATTTCATATTAAATATTAAATAATATGTAATAAGGATTTCTATGAAAATCAACTCTTGTTTCTTAGATTCATAATAAAGTTTGATTTGATTTAATTATATATTAAAATTACATCACAATTAGTTTCAATTATACAATTTGTTTATTAATGTTTATTACACAAAGAATATTATGAGATGACAATGTATTGTTGATTATACAAACAACCAGAGATCAAACAATACACATATTTATCCATAATAATTAAGATAAGGATATGGAGTTTCATATCCGTATTGTGGTGTCCGGTCATAGTTATAATAAGATCCGTATTGCAGTCTATTGTATGGAAAATCTCGCTCTCGATAAGGAAAATGAACGGTTTGTCGATTGCCATAACCATAGGGTCTGGCATTGCCGTAACCATTGTAGTGATCATATCCACCAAATGTTCCCATAGATATCTGATATGTTAATACAGAACATACCAAACTTAGCATTAACTATAATAAAAATTACATTAGTGTTAATTAATAAAACAAATTAAATAAACAGAATAACAAACCATTTTTAAAAAATTTCACATTTAATTTTTTGACTAAAATTCTAATTTAAAATGAATTTTATTTTTAAGGTAAAACTATTTATATGAATGGTTTTCAATGACAACAATTGTCTCCTGTATTGTCATTTAGCTTTTTTTTATTGGACTAATATATGGAATAAATAAATGTTTTGTGCTTTTGATTTTAAAATTAGGAAATATTAGGCGTTTCTTATAATAAAATTATTTTAGTCTAAAGTACTGTATTGTCAAAGAATATGTTGAATTAAATTCACTATTTTAATGCAAATTAGATACATTCAATATTTGTTGTTAACATAACTTTAACTATTTGTAAATGATATCCAA